TATAATTTTTTGTGATTATATATTTTCTTGCATAAATGTACCATAATTTAGATACCTGTTTTCCTATTTAGCACTAGATTTTGAGAACAAATATAACTTACTTCTACTTTCTTTTTTCTCATTTATGCTTCTATAAAACATAGAAGGTCTGAATGTTTTTTGAACAGTAATATTTTCAATTTATTTTCCTCTAAAATGTGATATTCCAAGGGTGAATTGTTTTTTATAGCTTGTTTATGGAAATCCTAAAGTACTGTACAGACTGTGACGAAATACAATTTAAGGAGGATGGCTCTTGGGCACCAATGAGATCAAAAAAGGAAGTACAGGAAGTTTCTGCCTCTTACAATGGAGTTGATGGTGAGTGGTAGTTTTTCACAAGGGTGGGGCAGTTTCCCTGCTGCTTTATGTAAGCCTTGGTTTTCACTATTAAAAATGCATGTATTTTTAAAAAACACTGAGCAGTTTATGGATAACTTAATAATTCTTATTAAATTATTGATTAAATGTTCAGAAGTAATAGAACTCCTTTTAAATTCACTTTTTTTTGAGCTTTTAAAATTTTCTGATATAAGATTTCAAAGTAATGTAATTTAGTAAGTCGTTTGTAAAGTCATGATTTTGAAACCATATCCTTTTCAAATTTTTAACAGATTTGGTACAGAGTAGCGAATGTTCCTTTTTCGTTTACATTTTTTTCCTGGCTTTTAATATGTTTTTGCTGGAAGGAGACTATGAGGTTTTTTTAAATGTTACCATAATATTTCTTAAGTATGTCAGGTACTGTACAGATGAACATTTATAATATACAGTCTCTGCTCTCAAATTGCTTTTATTCTGAAGTAGACATAAGACATACATTTTGATTTGCTCTAATTCAGAATTATTTTTTTAAATAATGCTTTAACAGTTGATAATAAATTGTAGTTTTAAACTTAGTGGAACAGAGCCACTGTTGGTTTTCCACTCTCTAGCCCCAGTAATTTTATGTCTACACTGTAACTGATAAATTAATAAGGACACTGAGAAAAGAAGAGAGATGTCATAGGTCTTCTTTGCATTGAATTTTAATTATTCCCACACAGGATGCTTGAGCTCCACGTTAGAACATCAGGTGGCTTCTCACCACCAGTCCTCAAATAAAAACAAGAAAGTAGAGGTGATTGACCTAACCATAGATAGTTCATCTGATGAAGAGGAAGAAGAGCCATCTGCCAAGAGGACTTGTCCTTCCCTATCTCCTACATCACCACTAAATAATAAAGGGTAAGTGCTGAGAACTTTAAAAAAAATCATTGTGAAAGTTAATTTGGTAAATAGGGATTAAAGACCTGCCAAATATTAATAAAATGACTGTGCTTGATTGTAAAACTTAACCTAGCAATCAAAGGATAGGCTGAATTTTTCCCAGGTTGTGATATTCTTGAGGGAATGGGGTAATGCATCAAAAGGGTCACTTGGATATGATAGTCATCGTATCGAAAGATAATTCTAGTACAGTGGTTCTCAAACTGTGGTATATGTATATCACAATCACCTGAGAGCTTATTAAAATGCACACAATGATCCCCCATATCTGAGTTAGGGACTGAGAAAATTTGTATTTATAATAAGTTCTGAGGTGATCCTGATACTGCTTATTCAAACTGGAAAACGTATGCTGTAACAATAACCCCAAGTTGACTGTTTCAAGTAGAAAGCAGAGGGAGAGGAGGTGATTTAAACCTGCCTCCAAATGTGTGTGAGGCTGGCAGTGAAGGAGGTCATAGATGACTTCAGCTGTAGTACACAGTATTTTCTATTTTGTAGACTTCCCCCCATATTTTCCATTAGTCTTATATCAGTAATAATGTACCTTGGTTATGCTTCAGTTCATTTCGTAAAACACCGTTATCTACTTTGTGTAAAACATCCTGTGCTAAGCATGGATGACAATAAAATGAGTAAGTATAGTCCTCACCTTAAAGAGCTTAACACTTTTTAGAGGGTGGTAAAACAAGTAGTACACTCCAGCTGTACTGTCAACAGACTTTTAGTCCCATAGACACATCAGGGATTCTAAGCAAAAAGATTTCATATTTTGCTGAAGCACAATTTTACCACACTAATAGTAAATCTAGAAATAGATGTGCCCCTTTTTAGGTGTGTATCAGGAGGATCACATGGCCTGTGATAACTGAATAGGAGCTATTGAAAAAATCTTCCAACAGCAGTGGTGCCTGAAGAAACACTGTAAGAGAGAAGGACAGTCCATAGATGGAATTGTTATAGATTGCAAGGTCAAGAGGGAGAGTTGACAGCAGACCAAGAGCAGGCATTCTGTGCATGGAGTCAAATCATTTTCAGGTTTGATGTTGTATGGTAAGATTAAAAGATTTCAATCAAACATTACACAGGTTGATATTTTCATTCAGGAGTAGCATATCTCAGCATATAAACAGAAACAAAGACATTAAAAGCAGTATCATTATTCTAAACAAAATTAATATTTAAATACTAATTCTACTCTATGAACATTACCTCTGATAAAAGCCTACCTTGATGGCTGGTTACCCAGCAAGCCTCACCTTGTTATTATACCAACTTATTTTATAAATCTGAGTAGGAGAAAAGGTCAGATTACCTGAAGCTAGCATAGTTAGAACACGTATCTATAGAATTTTGATTCTAGGATATTTTATAAATATCAAACCATAGTATGACCAAATATATATTGTCATATGATTAAAAAAAATTTTTTTTTTGTAGAGATGGGAGTCTCACTATGTTGCCCAGGCTGTTCTTGAACTTCTGGCCTCAAGTGATCCTCCTACCTCAGCTTCTCAAAGTGCTGGGATTACAGCTGTGAGCCACTGGGCCAGATATCATATGATTTTTTTAATGCCATAATTGCAACATTAACAGATATTTCATAAACCTCTGGGTGTACAAATACTTAGGGGTTAAATGCATCATTATATATGTTAGTTCTACTCTTTAGAATATTAATAGTACTCATATGTATTTAATATAAACTATGCAATTGTTTTACTGTGTATTTTTTCCTTAAAACTTTTGCGTGTTTAGAAATCTAATATTTCTTCTTTGGATATTTATTTTGCTGTTTCTCCAAAAATAGCTCTGTTTATTATGTTTGGAATATTACATTAGATGCATTAACTACTTCCTGAGCTTCCTGGTGACTAATTGAACCCAGATACTCCAGTAACTTGCAAATGCCAGACCTTCTCTCTCTATTTTAAGATTAAAAACAAGAAACCTGAAAGTTTACAACATCTTTAGAAGGAGAATAACGCCATAGTTAGCACTAGTAGCCATTTTATGATAATGACTAGCCAGTAACTAGAAACCTAAGCCTAGCATATCATATTTGTCATTGTGCAGTATAAAGGTAGGAATGCATTTCAAAACATTGTCACAAGATTGAAAGAAAAGCAGCCAGCAGGAATTAGAAAGAGGCAAACATCACTAAATGTAAAACACTGTTGTCTTCAGCCAGAGTGTTTAGTATTCACCCAGAAATTTTCTGTACTGTTGGTATACTGAGATGATTTGAAAGACTAGAATTTCAGTTGCTTTATTCTCTCTTGTAATCCCTTAGACGTTGTCAGAGGACACAGCTAATGGAAAATGGTACTTTTTATAGATGTAAGAGGTTTAATGAAGTTTCCATTAGATGAAACATTTTTATGAGGCAGATGACAATGTATTTTATGCTTCATATCCCATTTGTAAAAATGTGGTAGATGGTCATAACTAGAACTCTATTCCTGGAAATCCAACCTTGGCATCTTGAAATATTCTATACCATTGAAATTGCATCCCCACATTCAAAGCACTTCACATGAAGGATTAAAAGCAAAAGACAGCCTCTTCATTGCTTCCTTCCTTTCTATTTTCTATAATTTATATACCTTTTACCTCTTGTATGGGGTAACATAACCTTGTGCTTCCTTCCAGGGCTATATAATTCTTTATTTTTCTTTTTTAAAATCAGTTAAATTCTTCCTTTTCTTTTTTTCATCCTCCTTTTCACTTTTTCCTTAATTTCTGGTTAAAAAATTTGGGCGCTACTTTTCTCTCTGTTTTCCTAGATTCCCTCCTTTTTTCTTGTTTCTTTTTGCAGTTATATTATTCTTCCCTTAAAAACTCCATCACCCATTCATTATGAAACATTTCTTCTGTCTTGTTGCTTTTGTTGGATTCAGCAGGGCTTTTATGCAGGTGGTGTGCTGATAACTGCACTGGGCATTGGGTATACCAAGAGAAACACTACCTAGTTTTTGTTCTCATAAAATTTAGGAGCCTAAGGGGCCAGCTGGTAACTCTCAACTGCTCAAATTGCTGCATTCTCCCAGTGTTGGCCGTGTGTGTTTTATTTGCTAGGACATACCTATACTTCTTGCTAGTGGACACATCAGTGTCATTTTAGAAAGGTTTCAGAATTTCGTTTACTGTAAGTATCTCTCACTCATATCCTAGTAAAGTGACTCAGCTGTGCCTTTCCCCTGCATTCTGAAAGTGTAGGTCGTAATATTCTAAAGACATTGTGTGGTTTCTGAATGTTGCATCCATCTATTTCTCCCTATAACCTCTGCAAAAATGCTAGTAAGTATACAAATTATTCTATAATAATTGTAGATGGTCTAAATTATATATTGCTGTTCTTATCTTTTGTTTTTATCTCCAACACAAAAGCTAGGGTTTATTGTGAGATGCAACCCCCCTTCTTTTTAAACGTAAAAGTTTAACTGACTCATGAAAATTAAGCAAACCTTTCCTTCTTACAGCATTCTAAGTCTTCCACATCAAGCATCTCCAGTATCCCGCACCCCAAGCCTTCCTGCTGTAGACACAAGCTACATTAACACCTCCCTCATCCAAGATTATAGGCATCCTTTCCACATGACACCCATGCCTTATGACTTACAAGGTGAGTCACCAGTTCTTCTGTATTGTCACATAGCATTATGAATGCCTTTGATCTATATAGTCCTCTTCTGGGTGAGTCTAAGGAAGAATTGGAAGATTGGGAATATAGGGCCTGTGACTCGGGGAACTGAGAGAAATAATATACTGTGGTCATAAATACTGGCCTGGTTCCTTGATTGCACCTTTATTAATAGCCAGTGTTTTACTCCCAGTGGTAAAACTAGTACAATGATCTTTAGGTTTCGTGAGCTTCAAAGTACTCTGTAAGTTGTTTTTAGGTGACATCTAGTATGTGGCTTTAAATTTTGATATTTATGAGCATTATGTTTTATTTCCTAATTTTAGTTGTAATGCAGCGGGCATTGTGTGTAACTGTGTTGCATTATCTTTTAGATAATGCTGAATCGAGACATTTGAAAGTTTTTAATTTTTGTTCTAGTAAACCTGATCTTTCATTTCAAAAGCAGTTTGAAATTAGCATACTCATTTGTATAATAGTTGAGCTCATAATAATCATTTACATTATCAAAAAGAATTATTAGTTCTCATATATTTTATAATTTAATAATTTATATATTAGTCATACAACCTAATAAAATTTTTCTCTTTTATTACAAAAAGCCATATGTGTAGGAAATTCAATACAAAAACATAAAATGAAAGTTTACCTCTCCCCCAAGCCCACTCCCTAGAAGTTACAGCTAGTCTTAACAGTTGGATAACTTGCCATACCTTTTTCTACATATATGAAACATACTATCACTATCAAGAACCACAGTGCTGTGCACTTTGTAAGTCCTCAGATTGTAATCTGTTCTAGTGTTGATAGTGGGTAGATCCCTACTGTGTTTGTATTATTGTCATATTTTTATCTACATCTGCTTGTTGTGCTTTTCCCCAAGTTTAGATATTTAGATATCACAGTGAGGCATTTCATTTGTGTTGGTTTCCTTGGTCTTCGTCGCATCACACGGTGGTGGTGGAGATGAGAATGTGAACTGGAAGAAGTCTGCTTGTAGTGAATCCTGGGCAGCCAGGGGTCAGGACTGGTCCTTCTGTATGTAACAGGCACGTAGGTCTCTAATCCCCTCGTGCCAGCACAGCATCTCTCAGTTAGAATCTGGTACGCATGGGAACAAGTGAGCAAATTTGAGAAAGATAAAGCAAATCTGTGCTACAATTTGCTTACTCTCTTTCAACTTCAAACTTTCTTGTCTGCAAAATGAGGCCAAAAATAATCACCTCATGAGATGCTTGTGAGGAGCAGCTTAGAGTAGATTGAAAGGTTGCTAAAGAGGAGTGTGTGAGAGCATTCGTAAAAGGTACTGTGCCAGTTTAAGGGATGCATGTTAGATCTAACAGGGCAGCATGGCCCAAGTCCCTTAAGTGAAGTTACAGGGAGGACAAATCGTTGCTGAAGCTTGATCTTCACCCTTAATAATCTAGAGATGGGAGAGACATAAAACGTTTAGCTCAAGTCTTCATGTTTAAATAAAATTCTAAATGATGTAGCATTTAAGACTTGTATTTGTTTTTGACATATTGGGGCATTTGGAGGGGTTTTTTTGTTTGGCTTTTTTGGGGGGGTGGTTTTTTCCAGAACTAAAATAATTTTTTCTCCCACAGGATTAGATTTCTTTCCTTTCTTATCAGGAGACAATCAGGTATGTTATTTTTTTTTAAATCCTGTTGTTTTAATTGTACAATAAAAATACAGTCATGCGCCGCATAATGACGTTTTGGTCAACAACAGACCGCGCATACAGCGGTGGTCCCGTAAGATTATAATGGAACTGAAAAATTCCTACTGCCTACTGGTGTCGGTCACAGTACAAGGCATTCCTCACGTGTTCGTGGTGATGCTGGTATAAACAAACCTACTGCGCTGCCGGCCGTATAAAAGTAGAGCACATACAATTATGTCCAGTACATAATACTTGATACTAAATGACTATGTTACTGGTTTATGTATTTACTATACCATACTTTTTATCATTACTTTAGAGTGTACTCCTGCTATTTACTTAAAAAAAAAAAAAAGAGTTTACCGTAAAACAGTTTGGCATGTTGTGGCAGCACAGCCTCGCGCATCTTGTGTTTGCCACGTCTCTTGATTGCATCATTTTCTCTTGTGCTTCATTTAATCCCCTGTTGTTTTGTTCATCATGGCCCCTAAGCATGCAAAAGCCACATCTAATGTTGCCAGCAAGGGGCCATGTCGAGTGATTGACCTGGAAATGAAATTAAAAGTGATTAAGGACTGCGAAGGTGGAAAATCAGTGATGGTCATTGCTCCCCAGTCAGGCGTGTCCCATGCCACTATAGCTGCCATCTTAAAGAACAAGAACAAAGTAATGGAAGCTGTTACAGGGTCTGCTTCATTGAAGCAACAACATTAACAAAAATTCGAGAAGGGCCTTTATCAGATACGGAGAAACTTCTGATGACCTGGATTGAAGGCCAGACACAGAAACAGATCCCTCTCAGCACTGTGATGATCATGGCCAAGGCAAAAAGTTTGTTTGTGTTGTTGAAAGAAAAGGCTGGACCCGACTATGATGTTAAATCTACTGCTAGCTCAGGGTGGTTTAAACAATTCGAGAATCATTATTCATTACATAATGTGAAAGTGAGTGGTGAGTCTGTGCGTGCTGACATGAAGGCAGCTGAAGAATTTTTGGAAACTCTAGATAAGCTAATTGTAGAGGAAAATTACCTGCCAGAGCAAATCTTCAATGTGGATGAAACCTCCCTATCTGAAAAGGGATGTCTGAGAGGACTTCCATCCACAAGGAGGCCAAGTCATTGCCAGGTTTCAAGGCTTTTAAGGCCTGAATAACAGTCTTGCTTGGAGCCATTGTTGCAGGCTACAAATTGAAACCTTTTGTGATCTGGCATAGTGAGAACCACGAGGCCTTCAAGCACATCAGTAAGCACACAGTGCCAGTGCACTATAGGAGCAATAAGAAGTATGGATGACCCAGCTCCTCTTCCAAGATGCTCTCCTGAATTGCAGTGCTGCGAAATGGAGAAGTACTGTTTGGAGAACAACATACCATTCAAGATTTTGCTTATTGTTGCTAATGCTCCCGCATATCCTCCTCTTATTGGTGATCTTCATCCCAGTATCAAAGTGGTGTTTCTCCCTCCAAATACCACCTCTTTGATCCAACCAATGAATCAAGGAGTTACAGCAGCTTTTACGGCCTATGACCCGAGGAGGACCTTTGCCCAGGTGATTGCTGCAACTGAGGAAGACACTGAGAAGACACTGGTGCAATTCTGGAAGGATTGCAGCAGCCATGATTGCGTCAAGAACCCTGCTTGGGCTTGGGGAGATGTCACCAAGTTGTATGTGAATGGCATTTGGAAGAAGACACTCAGGAGGTTTGTCCATGACTTCAAAGGATTTGCCAAGGATGAGGAGGTTGCAAAAGTCAACAAGGCTGTAGTTGAGAAAGAAGGCAGACGACTTTAACCTGGGTGTGGATGAGGACAACATTGAGGAGCTCCTAGAGGTGGTTCCTGAGGAATTGACTAATGAGGAGTTACTGGAACCGGAACAGGAATGCATGGCTGAAGAAGAGGCAAGAGAAAAGGAAACTGCAGGCGAAGAAAAGAGGAACCCCCAAGAAAATTCACAGTGAAGCATTTAGCAGAAGCTTTTGCAGACCTCAGCAAGCTCCTTAACAAGTTTGAAAACATGGACCCCAGCATTGAAAGGTTTTCATTAATAGAGAGGAATGTTTGTGGTGCCTTGTCTGCTTATAAGCAAATCTATGGTGAAAAAAAGAAACAAATCAAGCAAACCACCATGGATATATTTCTGAAAAGAGTGACACTTCCTCAAGAAGAGCCTCAGGCAGGTCCTTCAGGAGGTATCCAGGAGAAGGCACTGTTGTCACAGGAGATGGCAGCTCCATGTGTGTTACTGCCCTGAAGACCTTCTAGTGGGGCAGGATGTGGAGGTGGAAGACAGTGATATTGAAGATGCTGACCCTGTGTAGGCCTAGGCTAATGTGTGTGTTTGTTTCTTAGTTTTTAGCAAAGAAGTTAAGTGAAAAAATAAAAATAGAAAAGAGCTTATAGAATAAGGATATAAAGAAGGAAAATATTTTTGTATAGCTATATAGTGTGTTTTAAGTTGTTATTAAAAGTCAAAGAGTTAAAAAATTTAAAAGTTTATAAAGTAAAAAATTACAGTAAGCTAAGGTTAGTTTATTATTGAAGAAAGAAATTGAAATTTTTTTTGTAAATTTAGTGTAGCCTAAGTGTTTATAAAATCTACAGTAGTGTACAGAAATGTCCTAGGCCTTCACATTCATTCACCACTCAACCACTGACTCACCCAGAGTAACTTCCAGTCCTGCAAGCTTCATTTATGGTAAGTACCCAATACTGGTGTGCCATTTTTTATCTTTCATACTGTATTTTTACTGTACCTTTTCTGTGTCTGAGTATTTTTATATACACAAATACCTAGCATTGTATTACAAATGCCTACAGTATTCAATACAGTAACATGCTGTACAGGTTCATCGCTTAGGAGCAATAGGCTATACCGTATAGCCTAGGTGTGTAGTAGGCTGTACCATCTCGGTTTGTGTAAGTGCACTCTGATGTTGGCAGCAGTGAAATTGCCTAGCATTTGTCAGAACGTATCCCCATTGTTAAGCGACGCATGACTGTATTTAAAAGTATGATATGTAGCCAAGAGAAAGAATAAATTTACTTGGAAAATTTAGCATGATCATACCCATTATTGTTATGGCTTTAAGAATTTAAATAAAAATCCCTAGCTTCAGCAGTGCCTGCGTATACAGTAAGAACAGTGTCTAATTGTTAGTTTCCAGTACTGTTTTCTAAAGGAACAGAGGGCAGTGAGTCAGACTGACTGGTAGATTTCTTGGCTAAATATCTCCTTAAGAGGAGAGGTGGGTGACTGTCCTCTTTCCTGCTGCTTCTGAGCATATGCTTGTTGGGAAATAGAATTTCGAGAACTGCTTGCAATGCTAATTAAAACAAAGAACAATAAAAATTTTACTTTGTGTTTTCCCCAAGTTTCACATATAAAAATGTCTCTCAAGATCAGTGTTCCAGTCATTACATAAGGCCATTTGATTTTACAAAATGTCTTACTAAATTTTTCAGAAATATTGTATAACTCAGGATATATTAAATTTAGGACTTTGTTCTGCTGAGAAGAAAATATATTAATTTATAAGTGTAATTAACATGCTTTTGTCTTTGTTTCCCTAGCATTACAACACCTCCTTGCTTGCCGCTGCAGCAGCAGCAGTTTCAGATGATCAAGACCTCCTACACTCGTCTCGGTTTTTTCCGTATACCTCCTCGCAGATGTTTCTTGATCAGTTAAGTGCAAGCGGCAGTACTTCTCTGCCAACCACCAATGGAAGCAGCAGTGGCAGTAACAGCAGCCTGGTATCCTCCAACAGCTTAAGGGAGAGCCACAGCCACACCGTGACAAACAGGAGCAGCACGGACACGGCGTCCATCTTTGGCATCATACCAGACATTATCTCATTGGACTGATTCCCTGGCCCTGCTGCTCCCATCCCCATCCCAGATTAAATGAACTTGGCAGAAAGAAGAGAACTTTGTGCTCTGTTTTACCTTATTCTGTTTAGAAAAGTACACAAGTGTGTTTTTTTCCTTTTTTTAGGGAAAAAATTAAAAGAAATGTACAGAGAACAAAACTATATTTTCAGTTTTACTTTTGTATATAAATCTAAGACTGCCTGTCTGATAAAACACTTGTTTAAAAAAAAAAAAAAAGGAAAGAAAAGAAAAAAGAAAAAACAAGCACCCACAAACCACCTTCAGTTCATTTTTTCTGGATTCTGAAGATTTTTCATCATTTGTCCTATGGTTTTGGTTTTATTTTACTTCAATGGCATTATTTTATTTGCAATAACAGAAAAGGAATTGCATGTATGAAGTTTTAAATTGTGGGTTTTTCTTTGTTGTGGGGAGGGGTTTGGGGGGGATAGTTTGATTTCCATTTTCTAAAAATGACAGACTTGGATTCTGTTTGTGTGTGTGTGCATATTTTATCCAGCCTTAAGTTATAAAGCTCATCTGTCCCACTGCATTCCCTATGTATTCAGGACATGGCTCGTGGGGGTGTGTGTTCAGTGTGTGTGTCTGTGTGTATTTTTCTGTCGTTACTGTTCCCTTTCCTCCCAAGTGTGCGTTCAGTTAATATAATCAGTTGCTTGCTTTTCTCAAAGTGCTTTGAAGGTCTTGAACTCACGTGTGAGCATCTTTATCAACTATCCCAATTGCATGTTCTCCATCACATATTCTCTCTTATTTGCTATATACCCCCTGAGAATATGTTTTAGAGATATTGGAATAAAGCTGTCTGGGTAAGAAGTAGGCTTAGCAGACCTGTGAATAATACACTTTAGTCTAGTTCTTTATTCTAAATCTGGATTGCCAGTATTGTGTATCTAAACCAAGTCTGTGAGTACCTGCTTTTTTTGGCCACAGAGTAACAAGTTTTCATGTAAGATCTTCGTACCAAAGTAGGAAGTAAAAATAGCTTAGAAAGCCTTGTTGGGTGTCTTTTGCAGCTGACAGAGGTAAGGTTTCATCACCTCAAACAGAAAGATACACAGTCAATTATCCTCAAAGTACATTCAGTTTGGAAAATACAATGCACCACATATGTCAATCTGTAGAAATCTATTTGATAAACAGTTGAAATTCAAAATGTGTTTGATCCTTAGTCATTTTTACTCTCTGGTTCGGAGTGTACCTATTTTCTTAGGCTATTTACCTTGTTTATTTTTTTCTTCACATTTTAACAAGTATGACATAGGAAAGTCATTTTTTTTTAGAATTTGTGGATCAGTCTAATCTACTCTTATTAATAATGGAACATGTAAATATATTGAAAACTGTTTTTCAGGAGATGAATAAGGGTTGGAGGAAAGGAAAAGTGGTTCTACTTATGTTCTGAAATCCTCATCAGAGAAGGTATGATGTTCTCAGGTGTGGAAAATATTTTTAGTTGATTGGGAATGCAAGTTTAACAGAAAAGATAAAGAAGGGGCATAATGATTGCCAGTTTTCCAGACTGGATTTTTCTATCACAACTGTTAATGTTCTCAAAGCTGATGAAGGACCACCTTTGTGTATAAGCTTGTAGTTTTAAACTTTGCATTGGTAACAAAATAATCTACTTTAATCCAGGTAGAATTCAAGATGGCTGTACTTCATTTGTATGATAAAATTAATGGTTCACATGACTGTGTGGCATCTAAAAATAATATCTGTTTTTACAGCATCTCTCTGCCACTAAATTGTTGACTTGAATTTTGAAAAAAAAGAGTTGGTGTTGATATGTATATGTGTGTGTGTATATATGTATTTATAAACAAGTGTGTGTGAGTAACAAATGAGTTACATAGTCTTCCCCTACGCGTGTGTATTCCACACATAAATGGCTGAGTTATAGTCACAAAACAATTTGCAATAATAATTTTAAAAAAAACCCAGATTCATTGTCAGTTAAAACAGGAAATAGTTAAGTTTTTAAATGAATCTGGTGTTGTGGTGAGCAAACACTTTAAGACTCTCATTGCCGTAGTAATTTAAGCTAATGTCTAATAGTACCATAATTTGTGTCTAAATTTGGATTGGGGTAGAAATTAACTAAAATTGTGAAGAGTTATTTCTGATTTTACATGGCAATAGGAAACGTATTTCTGTTAATTTGACTGCCTATGGTAAAATGAATAGTTTTCTTTGTTCCTATTTTTGTTTTTGTTTTTCTTTTTCTGTCATTGTTGTCAGTGGTCTCAAAAATTCTGATCAATAACTTTGTATATGATGCTGAATTACAAACTCTTTGCATGATCCAGTTGAAAACCCATCCCTCTACTTTCTTCAGCCCAGTTTTGGCGGGGGTTAATTTCCCTGTGTCCTACATTATACCAACCTAAGGAAAGAACAGGTAATAGGGAGAAGTAAATATCTGATCAGTGGCTTTTGTCTCCATGTGAGAACCTAACCATTCAGTTGTCTATTTTTAGTTCATTCCACTCTGTGGGGAGTTAGTTTCCTTCAGTTGTTGACTTTCCAAAATGTTGCATTAAGTAATAGTTATCACTCTGTTGGTTGCATGGTCAGTATCAATCAGATTTTCATGCACTACATCTTTATCTCCTAAATTAAAAAAAAAAAAAAAAAAGCACATAGTCACTTCATCTCTTTTTTTTCCTGAGCCCACCCTGACTCCCCAACCTATGCCAACATGGACATGCTGTCTATGGATAAATAGCAATTCTCAGAATCTTTAGTCAAGTTGCCACCATCCCCCTTGCCTTGGTCTTTCATAATAGGTGTGCATATGTTCATACTGTGTGTGCATGTGTGTATATACATCCGTATGCACACATCTTTGATAAAGTAGCTGTTTGACTAGCAGAGTTGAAGTGGCTTTTAATTACTTTGTGGGCATTATTGGACACATCTTTTTTTAAAAAGCAATCTGACCTTTAACCATGCCACACTTCGTTGACTAATCTGTTTTGAGCATTAAAATTTTTTCTATTGTTAGACATCACAATTCTGTATCATTATTGACTTAGGAAAGATTCACTTAAGCTTCTGAAAAATGTGATTTCTCAACAGATTTTTCCTTTGAGTCAAGTGTTGAAACTGAATGAAAATATATTGTATTTGTAAATTAATGTGGAAAGAACATTGTTTTTAAAATAATTTCAATTTTAAATACATAAAACTTAAAAGATCTTCAGGACTTTTTAAAGCACATTTGAAATTATTTTAGTAAGAGTTTTGTTTTATCAGTACATGTTGAATTTTGTTTTTTAATTAAACACAAAGCTTAGATTTCAGAAAGAGGGAAGGAGAATAGCTGGTGGTCCCAGAGTGTGCTGCTGTTAATTGTTTAATTAACAAAGGGGAAAATGTATATAAGCAGATATAAAAGTTACCATAAATTCCATGAACTTAAATCTGTGATTCATTGCCTTAAAACTTTCTCTCTTAGAATTTCCATACCGCATGCCAAACCAGTAAAATGGCTTTTAAAAATGTATAGTAGACCAATGTCAGTTTGTATAAAAGTACCAAGTGAAAATATTTATTACATGCATTGGAAAAAAATTGTTTACCTATTGAATGTTACCTGTTTATGTAGAGCTCTTTAGATGTAATAAAAGAAAAGCCTTCAGTTAATTTGTCTTCTGTAAAATAATACTGCTGGGTATAAAAGGGGACAATCCCTATAACACAAGTGATAATGGTTTGTGCTTCCAAAGTACCTTTCATCCAGAGATTTCAAAGCATGACAAGTAACTTACTCTCTTGCGACATGCTTTGAGGTAAGTAATGAATATACGGCCATCATTTATCTTTTTTATTGAAATATGGCTAGCTCTGTAATGAACCATAGCATCTGGGTTTGGTTAAAATCTGTTTAATATCTGCAATTTGAGTGCTACTAGCACCATGGCCTTTTTTGTAAACAACACCAGTTGCTAGGTAAACCAACTGGAATTTCAGGAATGAACATGAAACCAGGACAGGAGTAGTGTAAAAAAGCCTTTCCTCCTGTGGAGGTTTAAATCGGAACACTTCACGGGATCTTAGGCTCCAGACCACTGAACCCCCTTAATTAAGAACTGAGCCAGTGGAGAGGATCCCCAGGTTCTAATGACCACTCCACACCAGCGTGTGGTTTTGGCAAGCTATGCTTCAGATTCCTGTTAGGCAAATGAGATTCATAAAACTTGCTTTAAAACCAATACTGGGACCATTCAGTTTTCTAGACATAAAAGAGCTTTGAGGAAAAATATCCTCTTTTATTATTATAGTCCAGAAATTCCTTTTCCTGTCCATCTAAATCATCAGTATCTATCTCCCGTCTAATCCTTGGTATTCCAGATTGGCTGTGTAGGATTTGCTTCCTAATATCCACGGCTGGAGTTCAGAAGAGGTGTGGGTCTGGGACCCTTGAGCCCTGCCTGAGAGGTGAAATACAGCAGTTCTCTCTGGGGGGCCAAGGTCCAACCAGCCCTCTGGTGGATTTACCGGGAGGTAAAGGCTAAGCACCAGGGCCCTCACTTGCTCTGGCCTCTTCCAGGGTCCGGGGGGCAGCCCCAGAAATTCTGCATTTCTGTGTTTGTATTCTTAAAGTAGGCCGCCAAATCATATAAACCTCAGACCCCACAAAACCCACATCTGCTCCTGTACTGTGTGGACCTGGGTTCCCCAGCCAGATGATCACAACTTTACCTAATTGGTATTTGAGCTGTTTACTACCTTGCCCCTCACCCTCACCCCCACTCCCAAAACCCTTCTCTACAGCTCCTGGGAATTCCTGCTCACTCCCGTTGACAATTACACTTAGAAAAATGAGTCACCTTTCTCAGGACCTCAGTTTGGTCTGAAGCTACACAGCATCGGTGAGGTGGTTGCCCCAAGACTAACTGTTTTGTCCCCTGAAGTTTTCCCAGTGCCCAGCCTTTAGTAAAAGATTGTGTCATATACAACCTCCCAGAAGACATACCCCTGTCTTGACTTGGTTTTCTTCTGCTTTAGCCACTAAGGCACCGTTAGACAAAACCACAGTCCAGAGAGTCCAATTTTGATACATATATCATGAAAATTGTTGTATACTTAGAGCGCCGTACCTCACCCCATCACCTGTGCTGGTGGGGTACTCCAGCCCTTTTTTAGGGGTGTGCTGACCCTACCAATGGATCCATAGATTTGACAAGTGCATGGGCAACTCTGAATCCCTGGTGGCACCAGCCTGGCACCTCCTGGCTGTGTAACTCAAAGCCACTTGAGCTGGAAGGGCTCCTGAAGGCTCGGTGCCCCTACTACAGTTTTCCAGGGCTCTTGAATCCTGGCCGTGGCCTGTTACTCCCCGTAATTCTCTCCCTTAGTCCTGGGGCAGTGGCCATGATCAGTCTGGGCCACTTGAGCAGAACCTCTCTGCCTAATAGGAGAGCCCAGGGGACAGCTCACAATTCTGACAGGAGCATTGGAAAGGGTCTTCTCAAGCTCCGTAAGGCCTCAGTGAATGCAAGCTCACATCCTCTGCTTTCATCTGGGGTGGCACGTAAAGTTAGACCACTTCCCACTGCTCAGCGGATGCTGCCTCACTTTAGCGTGTGTGTTTCACTCTGTTCGTGAATGAAGATCCTGAGCTCTGTCACTGTCTGTTGAGCTGGAAATGAGAATCTGTCAGTGGGCTATGTGCTGCAAGAAATGTCGCCATAAGTGTTTGTTTTAGCTCTTGGTTGCTACTTCTCAGTAGCACTGGCTTTAGCTTGGAAGATGGTTCCAGCACCCAATCCAGAATAAGGTCTTTGGTAGATTGCTCTTTTTAGGAGAAGCATAACTCAGGCTTTCACAATGCCCTACAGGTTGCAAAGGCATTTTCAAATCATTATCTTCGTCCTTCCGCAATGGGCTCCATGAAGTAAGAAGTAAGAATTCAGCTTTCCTGGGGGATCCTGAAGCTTCAGGGGGTGAAAGGATTTACCCAAAGTCGTACAGCTGGGAAGTGGCAGAGCCAGGACTGGCACCCAGCCTGGCTCTAAACCACAGGCTCTTTCCCTGCTGTGAAGGGCCGGACTAATGGTAGTTACTAAAATCAATACAAATCTTTTATTAAAGACATGCTAATACCGTGGCTGACATCATTTATTATTGCTAGTTATCCTCTGCTACAGTTGGGTAATGTCATCTTGCCGCTGTGTTTGCCATCTCCCTAGAGTGAAAAGAACACTTTTCTTGTTAAAAATTAATCAGTCCAAGTTTTCAGGCCCAGGGGAGGCTCTCTGGTGTTCTCCTCATTCAGTAGTCCTGCGCAGGAAGGGTGATCTTGTGGATAAATTCATCATATTTCACTTTGCCATTTGGTTCGATATTTGCTTCCCTGAAAAGATCGTCCACTGCAATAAATCACATTAATTTTTCAGTTTGGCTTAGTGTTCCGTTATAAAACAGTTCTTTGGGGATTGGGGCTCCCTGTGCGCCTTCCCTGAGTGTCCAATTGACCAGGAAGTAGATGAGTGAACAGAAAGGGACAACCCACCCCTTACCCTCTGGAGACCACGCATTCAGTTTTGAGCTAATCAGGTTTTCGCAAGGGCAGGGAGTAGGGAGGTGTGCTGGTGAGGACTCAGTCACCGAAGCCACCCTGTGCTTTACTTTTTTTTTTTAAAGAAAATATGTGACCCCCCCCCCCAACCTGAACTTCTATTTCTAGAAACCTTTGGCCTGGATTTTTTACCTTCCACAACCCCCCTCCCCCAGCCTCCCAGCAGAACAGACATCTCGGCGGCTCCATCCTGGGCCGTGCCAGCCCAGGCTGTGGCCTGCCCCCCACTTGCCTGCCTGCTCTTCCAAACTGGCATTCCTCACCGCCCTGCCCCCACACCGAGGACTTAGTGACGAGTGGTGTCTGCTACCATTACCCCCTTTAAAAAAGTGCGCTTTGGGGGTGGGGGTTTTATGAGAGAAAAATAAATCCAACTGTGCTAAAAGCTCAAAGCATATAAAACTGCCATTGTTCTGCACTGCTTCAAAAAAAAAAAAAAATCACTTCATTTGCTTGTTTCTTCTGGTTCTAGATTCCTGAGACAAAATACTAGTTTGTCCCAGGCGCTGGCAAGAAGAGCCATTTCGGCTTATATTTTCCGTGGTGGCCTCTTGGGGCCAAACTACCTTGGGCGGCTCTTTGGACCATCCTCACCCTCCTGCAAAAACTGTGTCACTGCCCTGTGTCAGCTTCCCAGCCCTAGACACCCTCCACACGTGACTCTCAACAGTTAGAAAATATCCTGCGATTTTCTGCTTAGCCATGCTCCAAAGTATAATTACTACGCTCTGTACCTAAGCTGATGGTAGTTGCAAATATTTTGGGAATGTCGAGGAGACCGTAATTCAGCCCATTTCATGGAGAAGCTGCTACCGTCAGCCAGCTGGTTAAAACCGTCCCAGGGAACAGGCCCAACATCAGCTCCAGGGCCAGGGGCGGCAGCCTCGTCCCGCCTGGGAGGGGAGAGGGCAGCGGGCCGGCGGTGCTGAGTTCGAGCATGCCTCCTGGGTAGGCCGCCGGCCACCGTGCCTCACGTCCAAGACCCTTAAAAAAGCCAGGTGCTGGCTGGGCGCGGTGGCTCACGCCTGTAATCCCAGCACTCTGGGAGGCCGAGGCAGGTGGATTGTTTGAGCTCAGGAGTTCGAGACCAGCCTGAGCAAGAGCGAGACCTCGTCTCTACTAAAAATAGAAAGAAATTAATTGGACAACTAAAAATATATAGAAAAAATTAGCCGGGCATGGTGGCGCATGCCTGTAATCCCAGCTACCTGGGAGGCTGAGGCAGGAGGATCGCTTGAGCCCAGGAGTTTGAGGTTGCTGTGAGCTAGGCTGATGCCACGGCACTCACTCTAGCCCGGGCAACAGAGTGAGACTCTGTCTCAAAAAAAAAAAAAAAAAAAAAGCCAGGTGCTGAAGTCAGCCAGTCCCCAGCCTCGGAAGGGAGGCCGCCCCTGGCGGCCACTCCAAGGGTGCTTCTTAATGAAACTGGAAATTGCCTTTTAGTCATCCAGGGTAAAGGCTTCCTACTTCTGCTATCATCCTTCCTGTCTCCACAGCAAGGAGGGAAATCGGTCTCCCTGCTTGTCTGGAGCACAAACCAGTTTCTTTGACATGTTCCTCTGCCGGTTAAACAAATGATGTGTGTGAGTGTGGGGGCCATGTCGTTGCTTTAGACAGGAGTTATTAACCATAGAATTAAGGCCCTGCTCCCTCTCTCCTAACACTCCACCGGGCACCAAAGGGCCCAGCAGTGTCCTCGGAGCCTGAGAGGGAAGGACAGCCAGTGTCGTCCCCCATTCACAGGAAAACAGCCACAGTAAGAGGCGAGATCGTGATGGGGGCAAGCCCGAAAACGCGGGGAAGGTGACTCTGCCTGTTGTAGCGCTATTTTTAAATGCTCTGTGCTGTGCCTTTGCGACAGCAGATGAAAAATCTGAGCAGACTGGCTGATAGACTGGTAGCTCTTGGAGGGGCCTGAGGAATTGCCTACTGAGACCTCATTTCCAGCGGGGAAGCTGACGAGCGGGGGAGTGGTTAAGAAACTCATCCAAGGTTCCCTGGAAAGGGGGAGCCGGGATTCAAACCTAATTTAAACCATAACCTTAAACCCCTCCAGAGGTTTGTTGTGATGTGAGCAGAGGCTAAAGGCCAGGAGTTATTGAAGGCTTTTCCTGCACCCTACTGTGGCCAAGCCCAGCCCTCCCGTCCCAACCACAGGGAAGCAGGGCAGGCTAACTAGAAACTTCAGGCTCCCTGGGCGGGGGGACATGGCCACTGGGGACAGAGCAGGACTGGCCCCTGCAGTGGGCCCGCAGGCTGGAAACTCTGCAAATGGCCCAGCGCTGGGGTCCCCTTTACAACGTGCAAAGGGCGTTCCCAGGAAAGCCAGGAGGGCGTGCTGGGCTGCTGGAAGGTGTGCGGCAAAGGCCCCCTTGTAGGGTCAGTGACCAGGAATGCCTCTCCAGCTGTCCCAGCAAAGTCCCCCACCATGCTGCCTTCCGGAAGAGCTCTTAGAGCTGCCTGAGTCGGGAGGAAAGGGAGCAAATTCGGAGACCCTTGACCTCAGCGGCAACTTCAGAGACCACTGTGGCGACAGGAAAGCGCCTGAGTTGGGGCGGGGGCTTGTGTCTAGCAGACCTGCCTGCGTGACTCCCAGCTCTGCTGCGCGGAAGCCACTCACCTCACCTGTTTATCAGTAGAAGGGGACACGTGTGCTCCCGGGGTGTCAAACGCACTAAGTGACCCACAGTGAGAGCATAAACACGGGGTCAGGCCGAGTAGATGCCCTGCTGCCTGGGCACTCTAGCTGGGCTTTCCCCAGGCTGTTCCTTCACCTGGCCGACTTCACCCCTCTCCCATCCGGGCCTCTGGTTCCTCCCCAGCCTCCAGTCCAGCGCTCACCTGGCAGGACATCTGGGCCCACATCGACTGAGGGGCCTGCACAATCCTGGGGGCACCAACTGGGCTTTGGTGTCCTCCCCCCACCTCCCTGCCCCCTCCTACTGTTGGGAGATAGGCCCCAGGCTGTTACCTTCCTTGTGGGTGAGCTTCTCCCCCAGTCTCATGAGTTTTGACCGCAGCTCGGACGCCATGATGTAACCTTTCTTCTCCTTGTCCGCCATTAACATGGCCAGAAGAATTTCTTTCTTTGGGTCCTCTTGCTTTATTTGCGTGTGCATAACGGTCAGGAAAGTGGAGAAATCCAGTTCTCCATTTCTGTCTAGAAACCCCCAAACACAGCAGAGTCAGCAAGGGGGAGATGGCTCTTCTTGGGGAAGCCAAGTGGCCTCCTGCCCAGCCTGCAGGGCTGTCTCAAGGGCACCTAATTCAGGGAGCGCCAGGACGGGACAGTGGTTGTGGTGAAGAGGACACGGCCCCTCCAGGCCACTCACTGAACTGGATATTCCTCATTTCAACAACATTCCTAGTGACAGCGGTTATTATCACCCTGCTTTGCCTACTGAGGGGACAGAAGCTCAGGGTGTGCTGTCACCTCACGGAGCAGGGCAGGACCACGACGGGCTGCACCTCCTCTGCCTTCCAGTGAGTCCCTCCTGGCCTGCGCTGGAGGGAAACAGGCTCACGTGTCCACCCCCCTGGGCTGCCTCCACCAGGATGGACGGGTGACCCCACCTGGGCCTCAAGCCTCAGTCCCAGCCTGGGCACTTACCTCCCCACAGCCTCCACCCTAACTAACCCTCCTCCAGGAACCCGTGGGGGCCCTGCACAAGCCCTGGCCGGCTACAACTGCAGAAACCAACACTTCCCCTGACCACAACTTCCCGTTCAGAGGAGACAGAAATCAAGGAAACCACCCCCTTTGGAGCTGAAAGTGGGGGATCATGGGTATCAGACCACTGAGCATCCCATCACCAGGCTCCAGGCCTTCAGAGCCGCCTGGGCCCAGCCTGGCCTGCCCCAGGACGAGCTTCCAGCACCGCTGCAGGCACGCTCCGACGGGACCTCCCGTCACCCCGTGGATGGTGGTGACCCATCCGAGAGGTGAGGGAGCTGAGGGCCAGAACTGAGAAGTGGCCTGTGGGCTCTAGGTCAAGTGCTCTTCCCAGGCCACCCCCTCCTCTGGGCCAGTCCATCCTTCCCGAGTGTCCAGCCCCCAGTGCAAACAGCCACCTCAGCCTCTCAAACCAGTCTCTTTTATTTTTCCTTAAAAAAACAAAAACCCAAAATGCAAAACTTGTTTGTTTCTGATTATAAAAGTCCTATATGTTCCCATTGTTGAAAATCACCCATAATCCCAGCACCAGAAAGAACACATGGTAACGTTTGGGTGGGTTTTCTTCCAGTCTTTTCTCT